CACGGCCAGCGCTGCCCCCTACAGCCCCACAGCTGCACCCGCCCCCGGGCACTGCCACGGCCAGTGCTCCCCCTATGGCCCCACAGCTGCACCCATCCTCAGGCACTGCCACGGCCAGCGCTCCCTGCAGAAATCCTGCCGCTGTGCCCAGCGCTGGAGGTGCACATACCTGCGATGGGGCTGGAGAAGATGCCCAGTGCGTGCGTGTCGTCCACCCATTTGATGTCAAAGCCTTTCTTCCTGCCAGGGACAGCGAGCCGCTGAGATCTGAGGCATCGATGACATCAGCACAGTGGGGGCGAGGGACAGGGGGGCAGGGGCTGCCGAGGGGGGCCCGAGGGGACTGGCCCTGGGAAGGGGCTGGACAAGGCCGGAGTGGTTTCCGCAGCGCCATTTCGGACATGAGGCCAAAGGTGAGAGGCGGGGGGAAACAGGCAGAGCCCAGAGGCTCAGCGGGCGGGAACTGGCTGGGGAAGGCCTCGATCCGGAGCCCCGTGGCCATCTCGGGGGCGTGTGAATCTGGCAAAGGAGCTTGCATAGCTGGGGGCTGCCGGGGGGAGGTCCTGGCCTCTGGGGCAGCGCAAAGGCCTGAGCTCTGGAGAGTGACCGTGCAGGCTGGCTCTGAGGTGGGATGGGCAGGGGTCTCTGCCCAGGCTGGGGGGACTCACTGGTAGCTGCAGAAGACGCGCAGCAGGTCGGCGGTGCCGAAGTCCTGCGGGAAGTCGTAGATCTCGATGACATGGGGCAGCTCCGAGTTGCTGAGGTCCAGCTCAGCGGGCTGCCAGCCGCAGTAATCAAAGCGGGGCTCCTGCAGGCTGCTTCTGGGCTTCTCACCGCCCGACAGCTGGGGGGACACACAGGGCTGTGAGCTACCCCCCCGGTGCCCAGGATGGGACCCCCCCGCCCTACCCAACAGCCCTGCTCAGAGGGACAGCTCGCGGGCACCTGCCCCATCGCACGCTCTGCAGCTTGGCAGCCTGTGCGGAGCGAGCGAGCAGGCTGATTAATGGGGCGAGTCCCCGGGCCCGCGCGCCGGCCATCAGCCCGGGAGATGGATTAACAGCCCTGGGGACGCGGGGAGCTATCGACCGGGCCTGTGCGCTGCGCCTGGGCCTCTCCCGTTCCTAACCTCCCTTGGCTTTGCTGTGCCACTGGGGTCCCGAGCCGGAGGCAGGACACAGCCACGGCTGGTGCACTGGCTGCTGGCTCCCTGGAAACCCTTCACATGCCTGTCATGCTCACTGCCAGGGCACGCTGCCCCACACGGCACCTGGCACACATGGCACCTCCCCAAAACAAAGCCAGCAGCCACACGTCCAGCTCAACCCCAGTGCCACGGCCGGACCTCCCCCGGCCTGCACCAGGCAGGCAAAGGGCCACACTGGGCAGCACAAGCTGCCGCACGGGCACTGGAGATGGCAAGGTCCCAGCGACTCTCCAAGGGATCTGGGCCCAGGGCCGGACACACTAACCAGCCCCTGACATGGCGCTCACGGGCGAGAGGTCACAGGCAGGGCCTGGGGTGCCTGCAGCTGGAGCCAGAGCAGCAGCTGCAGTGTGGAGTTGCCCAGCTGGGGCTGACTGAGAGGATGGATTCAGAGCTAGGGACTGCTCACCGCTTGGGTGGGAAAGCCAGGCTGCCCCAGCCCACATTATGGGGGTTCCCCTCGAGTGGGTCCCATGCCAGCCTGTGCCTCTGCCCCAGAGACAGCAAACAGACCTGGGTCGCAAACCTATCACCCAGTCCGGGCTCTGCCCTGGCCACCCCCGGTTCTCCGGAGCAAGGCACCTTCCCACCCAGCAGCCGGTGTGTCTGCTGGGCACGGTGACATCGACGGCACTGAAAGGCTCTTATCTTCAGAGCCTCCTGGGACCTCGCAGAGAGACGGGCTGGTACTGAGTCCTAGCAACAGCTCACGCGTCCACAGCGTGTGGGCACAGCGGCCCCCAGCCCCTCAGACGTAACCGCAACGCGCTGCACGGGGGATCCTGTCCCACCCTGAACCAGCCCCCCTGGGGCGTTGCCGGGCACTGCAGGACAGACCCAGGGAGACAGAACGTTGCCAGCACTGCCACAGCCACACACTGAGAGCCAGCGACACCACCCATCTGGGGCATCGCCGGGCACTGCAGGACAGGCCCAGGGACACACACTGCCAGGGATGGTCTAGACAGTATTTGGTCCTGCCATGAGGGCGGGGGACTGGACTCGATGACCTCTCGAGGTCCCTTCCAGTCCTAGAATCTATGAATCTATGATGATGCCCATCTGGGGCATCGCCGGGCACTGCAGGACAGGCCCAGGGACACACAGCGTTGTCACAGCCACGCGCTGAGAGCCAGCGACGCCGCCAGGGCCAGTGATCTGTCTCGCGCTCTCCCCGCCGCGCTATGCCCACCAGGGGAACCCTGGGTCCAGCCCAGCCCCAGGGGATCTAAGGGGGGCAAAGCGCATTTCCAGCACAGGATGCAGCCCGGAGGCTGTAGAGCAGGGCCCAGGTATCTCTAATAGCGCCAAGCTGCCTGGAGCTCCGTTTTACATCCCATCCAAACACACAGCAGCGAGCACCTTCGACATGCCCAGAGGACAGAGGAAAGCACCCCACGCAGCACAGCACCCCGGATATGATAGAAACCACTTCGAGCCGGGGGTGCAGCAGCAGCCCCCCCAGTTCCAGCCCCTGTGCCCAGCCCCGGTCCCCAAGCAGCCATAACAGGATGCAGCGAGGCTGTAAGTCCCAGGCAGCCCGGTCAATATGCAGTGTTAATTGGGACCCTTTGCCGGTAAGGAGGGATGTGAGGCAGGCGAGGGGACAGGCAGAGAGGCTGGGTACCGGCGGAAGGGACGGCTGAGTTCTGAAGCACATGGGACACACTCCGGCTATCGGCGAGCGTGCCGGCAGCACCGCTGGGCCGGGCCAGCCCTGCATTCACTAGGAGCGCTCTCAGGGCGCACATCCAACAGGCTGAGAGCCCTCTGCTGCCACTGGCTTCAGTGGGAATTGTGCTGCACGGCTCAGGCAGGATCGGGCCCTGCGGAGACGCTCCAGGAAGCAGAGCACTCGGGTAACTCCGATGATCAGACACCATGGAGTGCAAACTGCTCAGCCCGCGCCATCCCTGACCTTCACGAACCACGGAGTGCAGGAGAGGGGAAGAGGGATTAGAGAGCCGGGCTGCCAAGCGGCTGCTTCCAGGCCTAACGGCACAGGTCAAGCCAGCGCTCTGCGAGCTCCCCAGCCTGCCAGCTGCAGCCCCTCTGCCGCCAGCGCTGAACCCACCCGCTTGCTCCTGGCAATGCCTGCTGGGAATGCTGGAGGCCTGCCCCACTGCAAGGGCTCCCTGTCCTGCTGCTTGGGCGGCCGCTCAGTCAGTGCCGGAGTCCTGGCTCACGAGCTAGTGCCAGCCAGCGACACGGCACCAAGAGGGCAGGCTAGAGCCAGAGCTGCCAACCCCCACCCGGGGCAGCGCTCAGGCCCCGTCCATCACCACATGGCGGGGCTCAGGGACACCAGCTGCTGTGCAAACCCAGCAGGTGAGTGCTCGCAGGGGCACGGGTGAGGCTGCCCCGAGGGTGACTCCAGCCCCACACCCGCAGGGCGCTGCATCATTCCCCAGGGCGGCCTGCTCTGCAGCGCGTTCCCACGGCGGGGGCTGACAGAACTCCCAGGAGAGCCAGAAAGTGGTGGACAAAACATCGAGGGGCGGGGTTATTCCACCCCCACCCCCATTTTGGGGTCCTCCGACAGAGCGCTGGGGGGAAGGCTGGCTACTGCGATGCGGGCTGACAAAGAACAGGAAGGAGTGCGCTCCTCCATCGGGGCTGTCACCCCCACCCTCTCCTGGGACCCCACTGGGCCTCACAGGGGTCCTGACCAGCCTGGGCCAAGACAGGGACCCAGATGACGTCACCGGCTCCCCTGGCTCCAGCTGTATCCTGACCATCGGCTGGGTCAGCCTCCGCTCCCAGGTCCTTTCCTTCCCTCGCTCTCTTTCCCGCTGTCTAACGACTGTCTGGCTGAGCCGGCCAAGCCGCAGCCTGTATGTTACAGCACTGCTCAGAAAGGCAGCTCCAGGCAATGCCTAGGACACGCGGCGCTGGGACAAGTTCGCCAGTCTCAGAGGGGCTGATAAGATCGTGTGCTGGGCCTGCGTTTTTAGCACTGAGATTGCAAGTGAAGGTCAAGACCAGAGACAGAAGCTGCATTTTTCTCTCTTTGCAGTTCTTTTCTTCCCCTCTTGTGTGTGTCTGTCAGGAAACGGGATCAGACTAACAGCAGCAACAGCTCCAGCCCAGCTCAACTCCCTCCTTCCCCAAGGACAGCTGGACGTTAGGAAAATCTTCCTGTCAGGGTGGTTAAGCACTGGAACAAATTGCCCAGGGACGGGGTGGAGGTTTTTAAGAGCAGTCAGACACACACCTGTCAGGGATGGGCTACATCAGGGCTTCGACCCCCTTCTGACAACAAAAATTACTACACGAGCCCAGGAGCCTGAGTCCGCTCCAGTCCCACCGCCCCGGCTGCGGGGGCCAAAGCCTGAGCCTCAGCACCCTGTAACACCGGTAACCTGAGCCCCGCCGCTCAGCCCCAAGCCCCAGCAAGTCTAAGCCAGCCCTGGAGACCCCACTAAAATGGGGTCCCGACCCACCGTTTGAGAACCACTGGTCTAGGTAATACCGAGTCCTGCCTCAGTGCAGGGGGCTGGACTAGCCGACCCAGTGAGGTCCCTGCCAGCCCTACACGTCTGTGATTCCCATCTAGGAGCCTGTCAGACAAGGGGATTTCCTTCCACAGACTCTCGGCAGCTACTGGGGGAGGGAACAAGGGATGCTTCATCCTCTACACTTCAAATGCGCCAATGTTTTTCTCTCTTTTCTGTATCAGTAACAAAAGGTAACAACAGGCTGCTGAAGGGTGTGCGGGCCATGGCGCTAGGCAGG